TGTCCTACTCTGGTCGTGCCTGAGACACCATCTGGTTTTTGTCCTGGCAGGTTCAGTAGTGGACTTAGTGGTGCTTGTTGAGGAAATGTCCCTGCTGCCTGGGCTCTCACCTGACCCGTCAGCCTGGACTGCCTTCCCCCAGGGACTCCTCCTGGCTCTGGATGGAAGCTTGTACTGCAGCACTATTGCCAAAGACCCCCAGGGACTGATGAAACAGCTCCCTCAGCTGCCCTGTAGCTCGCCCAGGTACAGTAAGTTTCTGAGGGTAAATGGCCTCTGCTCTACACTTCCGTCGTGTCAGGTTTTTTTTTCCCTCCACGAGACATTCTCGTAGGCCTTCAAGAAGGCGGCTAGCAAGGGAAGGTTTCAGTCTTCCCTACCCTACCTGCTCCTTCCTAGACTTTTGCAGAGTCTTTCCCTTGCAGAAAGATGGGAAGCTCAGGTGTGTTAGGAGATGACTGTGAGCATTGTTAGAGGTGAATGATCAGCAGTTGAGAGGCTTCTGCAAGTCTCTTCCACTGAGAATCCCTTGTTGTTTATTTCAGGTAAACCAGAGTTTTAATGGCATGTCAATGATTGGGGAAATTCACCGCTGAGATAAGAAAGCTGAAAACTGTCTTGTCTGGAGAGGGACAAGTTAGAGGACAGAAGATGAAAAAGCAAATAGTCAAAGTACTGAGTAGATGAAGAATAAAAACTTTTTTCTGAAGTTCTGTTTTTTGTTCTCTTCTCTATGCCTTCTGAAGTTTGTCTCAGTCATTTTTTCTTTTTGGTTTTGTGTCTTCAGAATTCATTTTGCATTATAGAAGATTGAAAACAGATTAAAAAAATTTTCTTTACTTACTCTCACATATTCTTTGGCAAATATGAAATGATGTTTATAGGTAACAAGCTTTATCTTTGAAAGCCATGAGATCAGACTCAATTTTTAAATACCTTGGTGTGTCATGCTGCTTTGTGAAGATCTTAAATTGAACTGGGTTTTGTGGTGCATGATCCTTTCTCTTTCTGAGGCTAGGAGGTCCTCCTAGTTGTACTAATGCCACATTTTGCAGGATACTGCCTTACTACTTCTGCACGCTCTTATTTTCTCCGAAGAATTCCTGTAGCATTGATGTTCTAATGCGCTGCTTTCCTGTGATCCAGAGCTTCACAACTGTTAACTGCTAGACGTAGTACATTGTAGTGTGAAGAGTCCTAATGACATACTATTCACAGCAGTGTATGCTTTCAATCAAGACTAATCTTTTCAGGCCACTTTGATGGGCGTTAAACTAAGAAACAGGTACATCAAAGCCCCAAATTAGCAAAGGAATACAAGTGCTGGGCACCTGCTATCAGCCCTTCTGACTTCACTAGCGTTTGTACAGCTGCACATTTCAACCTGCATGGATTTTCATGTAGGATAGCTGGAGAAGGTGAAGGAGCACTAAGCTAAATTCTCTTTGACTTTTACCATAACAAGGAACATGTTTGTACCGGTTTGCCAGGAGAGAATATATATTATGCAGTAGCACATTACCAGAAAATCCTCTTTCTAGTAAATCTGCACTTATGCATAGATCAGCATTGATGCTTACACAAAATGGCTGACTTGTTTTGCTAGCAATCAGTGCTTTCCTGGAATCTGATCGCTCAGGTTACTCAGGTCCTTGGAATATTTTAAGAGTAAAGACTGCTGTATCAAATCACTTTATTAAATTGATATGACTGGCCAAAGGAATACCTGACTGCTTTTTAAAAGATTTTTACATATTTACAAAATTATGAAGGTGGCACATTTTGATGTCTTAAGATTTAGTAGGGGTTTTTTTCATAATGATGTTTCATCTGTCATATTTGAGGATATTGCAAACATGAATGTTTAGTATCTTTGTTCAGTCTTCCCTTTCATCCCCTTTGTCTTCTGACATCTCTTTTCTTTCCTTACAAATCGGTGGTTTCCCCTGTGGTGTTTAAAGTCAGATGTGTGGAAAATTATATCTAATTATGCTACTGGCTTGATGTATTGAAAATATGAAACGTTTCACTGGAAACACCTGGTCTCTCAGCAGTAGCAACATGTCAATACTGCATGCCGTAAATCGAAAGCGTGTTACTCCGCAAGAGCTGCCATGTAAATGCTGTATCAGTTTCTTCCTGACGGTGGCACCGGTTGTACGAGTTTTGCCGTGCTGCAGACAGCAAACGGGTGTCGCCAGCGGGCTGGGGCACGGTCCCGGGAAAGATTGGGGGGGCGGGGGGGGAAGGAAGGGGTCGCAAACGCAACGTTACACATCAGCCCGTGAGCTCTTTCGTTGGCATGCGTTTTTCTTTTTCGACAGGGCTGTGTTTGCTGATCTTTTAGTTTCTGCTTAGCTCTGTATCGTCTTTTCCGAAGCACGGAGTGTTCATCATCTGGTGGTTCTGCTGCCTGTGTTTCAGGGTAGCCAGTTCTACGCTGTTGCAGTCTGCTTACACCATTTTGTAGGTAAAACAATGTGCCTGCCTTTCAGCAAACTGTGTAGTTATTAGGTCTGCATGCACACAAGGTAAGGAACTAACTTGTTTAGATGGACAGCTGCGTTTTTCTGAACCTGAGTTAGTATGGATCAGCTGTCTGATACTAAATACATCAGAGCCTAAAAGATACCCCTGCCACCTTCCCTGCTATTTGTTTGTTCCAGCTGTTAAATTGCTAGCATGTTGTGTGTGCTTTCAGACCTTGTAGTGTAGGGGGGGAGAGTGTGAACGATGGTGACAAAATGAGGAAAAAGGAGAGACCAGTTGCTTCCAGAAGCAAAACCCAGCTCTCTGTTATGTAATAGTTGACTGTTTTCTTCTCCTCCCGCACCTAATGTCACTCTTCCATGTGCATGCTCTCCCCTTCTCTTCCCCAGACAGCTTTATGCATGTAGCACCTTTGAAAAATGACTTGAGCAGCGCAGCAAAGGGGTCGCAACGCAACGTTACACATCAGCCCGTGAGCTCTTTCGTTGGCATGCGTTTTTCTTTTTCGACAGGGCTGTGTTTGCTGATCTTTTAGTTTCTGCTTAGCTCTGTATCGTCTTTTCCGAAGCACGGAGTGTTCATCATCTGGTGGTTCTGCTGCCTGTGTTTCAGGGTAGCCAGTTCTACGCTGTTGCAGTCTGCTTACACCATTTTGTAGGTAAAACAATGTGCCTGCCTTTCAGCAAACTGTGTAGTTATTAGGTCTGCATGCACACAAGGTAAGGAACTAACTTGTTTAGATGGACAGCTGCGTTTTTCTGAACCTGAGTTAGTATGGATCAGCTGTCTGATACTAAATACATCAGAGCCTAAAAGATACCCCTGCCACCTTCCCTGCTATTTGTTTGTTCCAGCTGTTAAATTGCTAGCATGTTGTGTGTGCTTTCAGACCTTGTAGTGTAGGGGGGGAGAGTGTGAACGATGGTGACAAAATGAGGAAAAAGGAGAGACCAGTTGCTTCCAGAAGCAAAACCCAGCTCTCTGTTATGTAATAGTTGACTGTTTTCTTCTCCTCCCGCACCTAATGTCACTCTTCCATGTGCATGCTCTCCCCTTCTCTTCCCCAGACAGCTTTATGCATGTAGCACCTTTGAAAAATGACTTGAGCAGCGCAGCATTTTAGGAACAACTGTGGAAGCCATCACTAGGCATCTCTTTGCTGAAGACAGGTGCTGTTTTTAACCAGCATTTCATTACTGCAGGTATATTAACATCCATTTTGTATAATCCAAAAACAGCTTGTTCAGCTTGAGAGTGAGGACATTCTCCCTAAAGGTCCTAGGAGCCTGAGGCTATGGCTGTGCTGTGTTCAGAAGGCGTATCACTAGTTAGCTTTAATCCAGCTGGACTGAGTACAACAGTACTCAAATAGTAACACGGAGTGCAGTGTGGGCTAGCTGGCTGAACAAGTGTCCAGGCTTCCCAAGAGGCTTCTAAAACTTGAAGCAGTGAAAGCTGGCCCTAGCCTGGCTGCTACCGTCGTTTTGCTGCACCGTAGCATAGTAATATAACTTTTTGATGTGACTGCGGAGTGAGAGTACCATTCAAATCATTAGGACATAAATTCTTGAGGGATTGGTCATGCTACTGAGCCACTTAAATTTTTGTGTATTCATGTATTCGGCACAGTAGCTGAATGTAGTTACTGAATGAAACAGCATGTAGTTTTATTTCCTTGGAAACAGAAAGGTAAAATGCATTAGCATAAGACACCAGTGAACACTTGGTTTTAGCCCATGTTTGCTGCTGACTAATGGCCTGCGTGCTGTTGGTTAATACAGAGCAGCTGTTAAGTAGCTGTACTTTAATGGTAGTGATGTTGTCCTGTGTCCAAGCCCTAGGTATGTACGTTAACTTTGAAAAGACAAAAGTATTATCTGGCTGCTTCTGATGATGTTATTGTATTTAAAAGAACAGATGTTTCTCAGAAGAGATGGTAGTGAGCATGTGCATGTTGTTACCCTGCGTCCAATGCAAGACAATGTGGTAAATCTTAGCCACAAAAGCGGTTTAAGGTAATTCATTTTACATTGCACCATCAGTTTCCATCATTCAGCTGATAAGTTGTAATTCTGTATAATTTGCTAGCTTGTTTTCATCCAAGGCAGGTAAGTGTTGAAACACTTGAGTGGAGCAGTGCCTTAAAAAAAAAAAAGCAACACACACACACACACACACTTCTTATGCTGGTGGTTAACAGTCTGCTCTCTGCAAAAACTGTTGGTGCTGCAGCTTGCGCTAAAAAAGAAGACTGCACTCATCTTACAGGCATTATGTTTTCATGTTTTACTTAAGATATTGCCGAGCAAAAATGAAGATTCATTCTTGTTTAATTTGCTTATGCATTAATATATTTGGATTTGATCCGTTTGCCCTGGAGAATGGCAGTCTCAGACTCAGACGTAACACAGTCTGATACAAATTCCTAAAAATTCCTACCAGGAGACTTTGGCTTTATTTTTACTAGTGATCAAGTACTTTCTGAATGCAAACATGCCCAAAATTTCAGTGTAGATAATTGCTGTGTAGAAGCTCCTTGATTTAAACATCCGATTGTGGAAATGGCATCCTCAACTAGGAGATAACTATGGCAAAGTTAATATATTACATCTGCATTTGCTCATTGTATCCAGAAACTTTTGCCACGTTGGCTAATATGTCCAACAGTACTTGGTAGGGGGGGGTTGTTTTGAGAAAAACTATGAAAGCATAAACTAAAACCTAATGTGGATGACAAGCAATAAGCATGTAACTGTAATTGTGGAACTAAGTGCATTTTGTAGTGTGTTACAAGTTTAGGGGAATTACGTAGCAAGAGCGAGCAGCTAATCTGTGGTCCAGTGTGGCAGTTACACAAGGGGCAGGCATGTCCTGTGTTGGTTGTAAAATCTGCTTGCCAGCTAGAATTCAGGCAGAGAGACGAAGATCCAGCTCCCTGATTTTCACTTGTTTGATGTCGTGTCCCCCCCCCGCCCCAGTTTGCCCGCAGTCGCCCCAAGGAACTAAGCACAAAATGGGCTCTGAGAGAACCGGTGATTTGCAGCCTGCCGGCGTCCAGAAAAACGCACAAAAAAGAAGGGCGGCTGCGTGACCCGCTGCTTGGCGCTGGCGTTTGTTTTCCCCAATTCCCCTCCTCCCGCCCCGGCCGGCTCTG